AGCTTACAGAAACTAAGTTTCTTTGGCCTCTATTGTAAAATAAAGATGTAGTCATATATATTCTAGGATTCTTTAGGAGGATAAAAATCAGATATTATAAAAATAAGAATGTGAAGAAAAATTTTCTTTTTATAGGTGTATTAGCCAGCTTTGCTTCACTGTGATAAAATACTTGAGAGAAGTGGTTTATAAGGAGGAAAGGTTTAAAATTTCAGAGCTTTCTGTACATGGTTGTTTGGCCCAGTTGCTCTGGGTTGGCAGTGACACAGAACATCATGACTGGAATATGTGGCAGAGGAGGCATGCTCATTTCATGACAATGGAGAAACAAAAAAAGAGAGAAGGGCTTAGATATTGGAGTACACCCCCAATGACCTAACTTCCTTCCATGAGGCTCCACCTCCTAAAAGCCCCACTACCTCCCAATGGTGCCACAGAATGGCCACCAAACCTGTGATATATGGACCCTTGAGGGACACTGAAGATTGAAATTATAGCAACAGGTTGTCAGAGTTCCTTAAAGTAAAACAAGTCCATCTCGGCTTCAGGGTTATAAAAATGCTTCGCCAAGTCCTTGGAGATAGATATGGCCTCAGAGGAGAGGGTGTTGAATAGTCTGTTTAGATGACATAAGTAAGAGAAACTACTTTTCATGATAAAGAGAGGTGGAAATATTTGATGCTGACAAACGGAACCAGGCAAACACACAAATGACCTGAGTCAAATACCGTTTGAAAAATGTACCAGAGACTGAAATAAGTCTTGAAGAGAGCACTACAATGAGCAGACTTCATCACTTTGTGCTCGAACACAGTAAGATATGAATACAGTAAGATATAAACTTCCTCTTTAACTTGTATGAAATCATACTTCAAGTCTATGCTTTTCAATAGCAGTTTGGTGTCTGTTTTCTTGAGATTACTTATTTATCATGCAACATCAAAGTTGAGAGCTACCCTGGTCCCACTGTGGTACAATAGGAAAATGTCATTTCATAGCATTCAGATGTAATCCTTAGTATCACAAGCTTCAAATGACACAATGACAAAGCTGGTAAAGCGAATCAGCACAGTAGTATGTGATATTTTATTTCTATGGCTGCGTATCCTTAATATGGCAATTTATTCCATCTAAATATCATGCAACAGAGTGCTATGAGGATAAATTACATATTATAAAATCAATGAAATTAGAGTTAGTAGTGAATGTGAGATGATAGGCAGACCATTGGAGGGGAATTGAGTGCCCATAATGTGAAACAAGAAACACTCACAGCATGCACAGAGGACTTAGCATAAAGCTTGGCACAGTGAAGGCTAAGTCAGTCTTATGTTTATTATTGCTAATATTTTTAATAATTTTAATTGACATATTAAATAAATATATATATATTACTATCCTTAATATTGCTATTATGAGGTAGCAACACTGCAGACTCTTACTTTCTTTGTTACATTTTCCAAACAGTGTTTGACTCAAGTCATTTATATGTTTTTGTGGTTCCTTGTCGGCATCAAATATTTCCACCTCTCTTTACTTTAACAATGCATTAGACACAAGGAAACTGTTTTATTATTCTTGATCTGGTTACTAATTTGTGCTACATTCTCATATCATGGTAATTATAAAATTGAAACTAAAATCAATATTTTCTTCATATTTTTATATGTAGCCAATCCCAATTTGAAATAGGAAGGCAGAAAAAGAGTCAACAGGCATCAGAAATATCTTTCATGGGGGTGGGAACCATTCCATTGAGGAAAATTTGGTGTGTGTGGGGGAGTCTTTTGGAGACAATGTCTCCCTGCAGCCCCAGAGGGCCTGGAACTTACTATGTATACCAGGCTGGACTCAATTTCACAGAGATCCACCTGCCTCTGTCTTCCAAAGGCTGGAATTAAAGTGCGCCAATATGCTCGACCACTGAGACCAATTTTTATCTTTCACATTTTTAAAATTTTTTATTGTGCTTTTATACATTTCATATAACAGTCCCCAACCCTCTCCTCCATCCACACTCCCCAGCCCCTCACTGAACCTCATGTATTCCGCCACACTTCTTGCTCATTTTAAAGCAATGTCTTTCTTTCTTCATGCAACTTCATCCTTAATGGAACTGTCTTTGCTTCAGCCAAGTAAAAAGACACATAATTATCCAATGAGATGCTGTGTGCACAGAGCTTGGATAGGTACTGCAAGCTTTGTGCATGCTAGTTCTTCCTTCTTGTCTCCCGACCAAGAGGAAAATATTACCAATTATTTCTCATTTTATTTTTGCAGAAATAAAGTTAGGTTTAAAAATAATTGTGTACATTGACCACATGAGAGTTCAAGCAACCAAGGAGACAGGTCATAAATAATTGTAAAACTAAGATTGGCTGTTATACTTCTTCGACACCGAAAACAAGGACTGTGAATTCGTCACATGGATTAAAGGTGCCATTGCATCATATCACTGAGTGAGATACTGTGCTATTTTTAAAGGAATAAGAACAAAGAATTTATTCTTTTTAAATGATGTCCAGTAGAATGAGAATAATGACCAAACAGAATACAAATACCAAAAAAATCATCCTGTCCTCAGTCCTAAATTTTATGTGACTAGATAGATTTCTTATAAAGTCTTAATATTAGGAAATAATTTTCTCATTTCCAAAATGTCCTAATCCCATTATATCCTCTAATAGATTTAGACCAGTGACTATAAACATCAAATCTATCTTCTTGTCTTATATCTGTGTGATGTGGAGATAGAGTTACTGTGTAAGTAATATGTGATCGTTGCTTCCTTAGGTACTCATTTAAAAATAAGATTTTTGCATAAGATGATTCATTCTCAGAATTGAAAGACAGCTCCTTTTGGCATAGCCTCCTATTCCAGCACATAGAACAGAGTTATTGAACGTGGATCTCATTTCTTCTTCTTAGTGCTCTGTAATGTCTAGGGGGCAAAGATTGCATATTGCATGTTTATTCTAATTCCTGGTGCAGTGTCCATGGTAGAGTAGAAAAATTTCTCTTAAGTGAATAAAAGGCAATGGTAGTGTATGAGATTCCATCTAAAGAATTCAGAAGAGTTTAAATATCAATTCAAGACAGCCAGTAAACATTCAGCCATAGAGAGAGGAGGGACTCATAGGGCCCTACATCCCCTGGAGATCTAATGGCAGTCCAGGGCAGGGCTGTTGGGGAAGAAGAGCAGAAGTCACCATTTTCATTTATGTAGGCACTGATGAGTTACCTATGCACAAGTAGAGAGCTTCACACCCAAGCCCCTGTGGGTGATGCTGCTTAAACTCAGTTGGTCACACAACAAAACCAAAGACAAAATCTAAAGACATAAAAACTGGACAGGGACTTGGTTGGAAGAAGGGAAATATTTGGTGAGTTGGAGGGAGGATAAGAAAGAGTGGAAGGCTATGAGCAGGACGTCTTCTATATGTGTATGAAACTGTCAAAGAATAAATTAATAAAAAAAAAACATTTGCCTAGGATTCAGTGTGTCTAAAACTGAATGAAAGAAGGAAAGTCTAGCAGAGACCATTTTCAATCTGCATATATGGAGGTATTTGAACATCTTAACTGAGGCTATCAATTTCTCAGTTCCTAAGAGAACAAAAATAAAGGCAAGCATCCAGAGATTAGGAGTCAGGCTTAGCCTAGTGGCCTTCACAAGTGCAACTTAAAAGAAACACGGAATCTTTCCAGCATAGCCTGCTTCCAACAGACTTACACAATTTCATTCTTCAAGGTTTTTCACATACTTCTGTCTTTGAGACTATGAATTTCCATTTCCCAAAAGTCCTGGTACTGATTTTAATGATCTGCTTCACGTGACACGTATCCTCTCTCTCTCTTTCTGTCTTCTCTCTCTCTTTATTGCTATTAGTGAATGACAAGTGAAGGAGATTCATTTTAACTTGAAAATGTCAGGTATGCACTTTAAGAGATATATTTTTCATCTTTTAATGAGGTGGTGTTTCTTTTTGAAAGAAATACTCATCTCTGATGCGGATGCTGCGCAGGTGACAACTGATATTTAATAAGCGATGGTTCTTGTATCAGTCGCAGTTCACTAAAGAAAATGTCTCAGATTGCTTTTGAAAAACTCTTAGCATCACTAGCCCAAAGGCACTATGTGACCTTTTTATTACATAATGAGAATCATTTATTATCTTACCATGTATCTTAAAGTCACAGACAAAATGCCACTTTGATAATTGCTTTCAATTAGCTTTGAGCATAGCATATATTCATAAAATGTCTTCTCTAATTTAGAGTTGAATTAGAGAAAATTGCAGACATAATCTGCTTTAAGGTTGTCTCATTTAAGGTGATTCGTAGTTTTATATCAAAGAAATCAAAATGAGTAGCTTAGGAACAGTCTCTCCATGTGTTTTAGGCAGGCTTCTCAATATTTGATTCTATTCTATTACCAATTAATTAACAAATTAGAAAGCTAGTTCATCATTTCTGACCTTTAATGCATGTTAACTTTTGACTTTCATTCTTAATGATTGTTTTGAAATGAAACCTTAGAGCTCCTGTTGAAAGACAGAAACAATCTGATTAACAAGATAAATAAGGTTTGCCCAGTGCTAAGTACCTCCTAACACTGGGCCAGAGCGGGGACTCTGAATACTATAATGGCGTATGTTTTCCTACTTCAATAAATAATACACAACTGATGGTCAAGAAATGACAGTGGGTAATCATGTAGCCTGAATAAAGAGTTCTGGGTGGATGGCGGTACTACAAATGAAGTCAGATAACATGATACTTAAATTGTAACTTCAGCTAAGTTGTACTTTTTGTTAGCACTTGGATATTATGTACATGCACAGTCTTATCTCCCTTAAAATATTTTGAGTAGTGAAACTCTGAAATTGCATTTCACCTTTGTGTTGTCTCAGTTACTTGTGAAATACTGCAACAGAGATTCTCAGAACTTGGTACTGTAGCCCCTTGTCACTCTCTCTCTCTCTCTCTCTCTTTCCTAGATAAAAATTACACACAAGAATCAAGCACCAATGCTGATGGGCCCTCCCCCCAAAACTGGGTTATTCTGCTCCTTCGTTAAAAGAACAAGAAACCGAAGCAAGGAGTGACCTGCATTAGCATAAATTTAAATAACATCATTGGGCCATGGAACACTTTGAACCATTTCAAGTAGCCTGCTCTTGCAAAATCATGGAATTGCTTTGAGTTTTTGTTACTGAGCTAATGTAAAATTCAGCTGTTAGAAAATTTGTTGTCTGTTTTTATAGGCGTCTTTGCATGAAAACCAGCAGAAATTTACATGAAGTGATACTGCATATTTCCTTGCATGCATTCCTATAGGTTTTTCTGTCTCCTACTCACATTTTGTCCCATTTCCATGTACTGACCAGTAAGAAAAAACCTGTGAAAGAGCCAAGAAATATCATGGGAAATGTGATTCTCGATGTAATAACTATCATTGACAACACTATTCAGTGATGCTACAATGATCATAAGTGCAGATTGCTGTATTTTCCCCTTTAGAACCAGTGTATCAGTGATATTTGACTTATGTCTTGAGAAGAAACTTAATTCAAAGATTTTATTAAATAGTTGACTCTGATACCTTGCTATAGCTAGGTAATTTTTCTTCCTCATCTAAACTCTTCTGAATGGAAATTAAAATGTGAGGCATAGGGTTTTCTTGTGCTAAAAAAATAGGAAATGGTTTTTATTTTGTTTAATTTTGGTTTTAATTCCAAAAAATAAGAGAAAACTATGTTACTGGCAGTAATTGTGATACTATGACAAGATTTAATCCTTTCTGCATGAGAATCTAGATGAAAATTCATAATCACACTAGTAGACAAATAGATGTTTTAAACTATGTGCCTAATGAATGCATTGCCCACCAAAGATTCAGGAAAAAAAGTTGCTTGAGAGAAATGGATTGATGCATAATTAATTAAGCATTGTGGAGCAAATGTATAGCTCTTATGATTAATTTGTGACAACTAAAATGCCAGAAAAGAGTGAGCTGCCTATTTATTATGATTTAAATACCATTCGCAAACAGTGGATCATGCAACACAGTCAAAGCTCATTAGCTAATCTCATGGTTATCTGGTCCTCTTACAACATAGGAGTCTGTGATTTTTAATGGATCCGTTAAGTGCACTTCAAGAAAGTAAACGATCACATCAGTTCCCTTCTACTGTAGATTGGTACCTGTAATAATATTGAGCTCACTGAAGCAAATCATGCTTGCAGTTAGCCACTTCCCACTCGAGTCCAGCCCCATCTCCACAACATCCCAAATGTTTATTTGAAAATATGTAATGGCCGAGGTCACTGTTTAAGATGTTCGTGGCATGGGTGGAATCTCTGACTGCTTAAAGCACTCATGGAATGATCACTTTACATGGTGTTTCTTAAAGTCTTATATAACATGAAATACTGAGCAGTCTTAGCATTGTTCAGTCATATTGACCTGCACATCATCATTGCATGTTTTATGTTTTCAAACATATCATAAGGAAACAAGTGTATGAAATGCATGATTTATTAGTTTTCTTATCCACTGGGCACTAAAGTGCTAATGATTTATCAGTTCTATTTTTCTATTGATTTGTTCATCTTTGAATAACAAATAGCATTTAGCGATTCTGTTGAACACAACCCTGTGCATGGATTTATTGATTTCAAGTGAAATTGCTATAATTTTAGTTCTTTGGTTTGAAAACTCAAGTGAATGCTGTTATATCAAATCGCTACTCTCAAACAGTGTGTTGTAATGGAAGATTATGTATAAAGCATATTCTTTTAGTATTCCAGGAACATTGGATGCTAAATACCAATCAACAATAACTTTAATTGCTTTAAAAATAAAAGCCTTTGAATAAAATTAAGACATAATTTAGCATACCCAGGAAAATTATGATTAAAATTGCAAATTCTTTACAGCAATCATTTGCCCTAGCATAATAATAATAAAATAGTTATTCAGCAGAACAATAATCTAGACCAAAAGAATGCTCAAAAGAGAAATGCATTGCTGACATAATATTACATAACACACACATTGATTTTGTGTTTCTATGGTTACAGGTAATAAATATTTTTACACAAAATGATGAGTTTTTTTCTACAATGGGCAGGCAAAGCTTATGACAAAAACATTTTTGAATCTTCAAATTATTTTATGTTCAGTACAACACTAATTCAGCAACAGTTTCTGAATCATTTTTAACCATCTGTGCACTGGAAATCTATTGGAGAGACAGCAGGTTGAGGCAAATTAAACAACTTGCTCATGTGATTTCAATAACTGAAATAACAGGCTACAGCTTTGCTGCAATATAGCTGCATAACTATTATCAGTGCAAAGAGTAGTTACATTTTCAGTCAGTTGGATTCATGGGTAACACTAATAAACCTTCAAACAGGCATCAAATTTGACTTCTTTTCTCAACTCACTTTTTAAACATACTGATGTGCTTGCCCTTCAAGTACACTACTCCTGGGGTTTGAAAAGTAGTTTTTAAAAATCTACTTTGATGGTTTTGAAATAAGAGAAGATATTCTCTTCTTTTTATGACAGCTTCATGTGAAGAATATATATTTTAAGGAAAATTCTAAATGGAAAGTTCTATGGCATATTAAAATACTGCATAATGAATGCTAGCTTTACAAAACGGAAACTTTTCTTCTAGGTGTGTGGATGTTTGAGGTGTTGAGTCAACCTCTTTTAACTATAGTAGACAGTAGTAATAGTGTTTAATTGAAATGAATTTGAATATTAATACTGGACTTACAAGGAGCAGAGAATATGGGGGGGTGAGGTTTTGCATCCTGCTAAACACTGCCATGCACTAAGTTGGTAAACAGAGATGATAACTCCAGAATCAACCTAGAAATGCACAATTTTAAGATATAGGAATGTGGTATCTGTGGAACCACAATTTCAAAGGACATAAGTATATTTTCTCATTTCCTTCCATGTGTATATCATAGGTATTTGATGTGAAAGTGATGATCAGTTTTTGTAATAGAAGAAGAAAATTTTTTAGGAAGTGACATTATAATCACAAACAGCTTTTACTTCTGAACGGTCGAGTGATTGTAACCATTCTGGACTAAATGGTCAGGTGTTTAGTGTAGACAGTTTACTGAAGGCAGAAATGTGAATCAGAGAGGGTTAAGAATCATGTGTTTGTTTCCACAGATTGTTCAACTGTCCATTTTTAGGGGCTGGGGAGCAAGTACAGCTCTGAAAGAAGAATTTGTTTGAATCTGAGATTGTCTATGCTATTCAAATAAAATAGGACTTTTTGATAGCACTGTTCCTTTTTCTGTCAGCATGAGCTGGCTTCCTATTGGTTCTGAAAAGAAACATGAAGTTTCATGACACATTTAGCACTGAAAAAATTATTCAATGCATAACTTATATTCCACATTATCAGATAAAACCCTTGTACCGTTGATACTATAGAATTTTAAAAAAAGAAATGAATAAAACTCAGAAATAAGCATAACATTCATTTTGTGATAGAAATCACTCCCTTAAAACAATTAAACTGCACTGTGTTTAAATAAAGTTTGAGTAAACTCACATTTGAACCTTTCTATATATTCTTATTGTGTTTAAAACATGAGGTTCATTTAATTACAGTATCTTAATTATTTTCTCAGAAAGTGTTATGTATAAATCCTGGTTTTTGAAATAAAAGTGTTAACTGTTCATTTGTGTGTCGTTTCTTACTGGCATCTAGCCTGATACTCCACGCATATGAGCTATCCCTGTGAACAGTCTCCATTGTTTCCACTAGAGGACTGAACCACTCAACTTTGTGATGCTTTTTGCCCATAGTTGCTGCTGTGGGACTTGATTATAGTATTTTCACAAATTTTAAGAAAGCCATCAAGCTAATTAAAGGGATTGTAGAGACTAAAATTGAATTGGTGGTGGTGGGGGCGGGGAAGATGTCTCAGCTGTTAAAAGCAGGCATTGCTCTTGCAGAGGCCCTAAATTCAGTTCCCATCATCCATCTATATCTATGTGCACGAACCCACGCCTCCACACACACATGTACACATAATTAAAAGCAATAAAAGTTGCCAGGCATGGTGATATACACACACATCTTTAATCCAAGCGCTCCTGAGGCAGATTGCTATGGAATTGAGGCCAGCCTGGGATGCTCTACATAGTCAGCTCCAGGTCAGCTGGGGCTACATAGTGAGACTCTGTCTCAAAAAAGCAAATAATAACAATAATAATAAATCTTTGAAATAAAAATTGAATAAATAAAATTGTAGATATAAAATTTATCATTGACTCTATTCTGTGTAACAGACCAACAGATATCACTTGTACATTGGCTAGGGGAAACATTTTGCAAGGGGTCTGCAGCTATTATAAAAATGTTTTTCAAGGATGCACTCTTTTCTCTAGATAGCTACATTGGGTAGAAGAGCTAAGTGTATTAGTGGCTGCATTACGTGATCAAATTAGGCTCCAAGGTGTGATGCTGGCTAGGGGAAACCACAGTTTAATGGAGCTACTCCAAAAGGCCTCAAGAGAAGGCAGGTCTACAAGTGGCTCTTTTGAAAAGGTCGGATTTACAAGGAGAATGAAATAGAATTGAGAAAATTCAGAGTCATAGAACACAAGCACAGGGGGCACAGAAGTCAAGTCCCGTATGCTTCCTGGCTTTGCTTTGTTAAACATCGGAGCTTTTATAAATGGAGCATTTGGCTAGTGCTCACAGCTGAAAGCTGCCACAGAAAGAAGGGAGAAGAGAAGACAAGAGGGAAAGAGATGCAACAAGGGGAACAAATACAGGCCAGAGGGAGACAGAGCAAAGCCAAACTCCAAACTTAGGGTTAACAGGAAGCAAAAACTCATTTCACATTCTGAAAAAGAGGGGAAAAAAATCGTAGATATTTTGATTTAAAAGCCTCAAAGCAGTATCTGGCCACTCTTTTCCCTTTTCCAATAAATTGAGTTGTGAAAAATGGTTTTAAATTTTAGGTAACTTCTTAAATCTTTGAAGCCCAGAAATTTTAAAATAAGAGTCAGTATTAATCGTAAAATATATTGATGCTCAATCTATAAAAGTTATGGAGTAAAAATACATCATAAAATGATATAAACATCCACAATTCAGTAACTACCAAAGAACAAATGACGGCGAAGAGACTGGTCCAAAGGCATTTTCTCTTTCTAAATATTTATTACCTGCTCAGTTGACCTTGGGAAAACTATCTTAATTAAAACTGCAGCAATATTATTAATAATATCCCTCAAATTATTAGTGACTATAAGCCTTTCATTTCACTTCCTAGAAGCCCTATATCAAAGGTGCTGTTTGAGCTGGGCATGATGGTACATGTGTTTAAACCCAGCGCTCAGGATGCAGAGGCAGGAGATTTCTGTGAGATCGAGGCCAGCCTGGTCTATATAGTGATTTCCTGGTCTATGTAGTGATATCCTGGTCTATATAGTGATTTCCTGGTCTATATAGTGATTTCCATGCCAGCCGGGACTACAGGGAGACCGTGTCTCAAAAAGACCAAAAAAAGGTGCGGTTCTGAGGAGAACTACCAATACACCTGGTGTCTAGAGCCTGTCCCAGCTCCACAGCTCTCCCTCACTGAACCCTGTCCTCACTATGAGCCGGCACCAGTAGAGGGGTCAGCCCAGCTAACCTACCAGCCAGCATTTCTCTAGAACTGCCCTCTCAAAAGCTTTGGTGGGAACTCAAAAATCATGTACATCATGCATGTCAATAAAAATACAAGCTGATCTTAATATAGCGCTTGGTCTGTTCCCAGGCATAATTCTTCACATAAATGAACTTATTTAAACAATTTCCACAATTATCCATACCATCCCTATCTCATGAAATAGAAAACAGAGACACAAGATGCTGTTTGAAACTTCTGAGAGAGTCAGGAAAGAGCCTGGACACGCGACAGTCCCTCCTTTGCTTTCCTAAGCACATGCCACACTACCTGGAGCCTAGCCTGAAAGATTAGGTTCAGTTTCAATCTATTTAAATACAACACATGCATAAACTACAGCCATAAGTTCATTGTGATAGTAACAGTAAATAAAAATAGTATCTCATAATATGAGAAGAAAATTTATTGAAGAACATGAATACTATCAGTATTCGCTGAATATTTTGAAAATAAAAGTTGCTTAATAGAATTGAATAAAGAAATTGTTTGAAGAATTTGGTCTTATTCCTTGTGGCAAATGTGCCACAGAGTCAAGAAGCATTCAGTGAAAGATCACATCAATACCTTCCAAAGTTTAGACAATCACTGGAACAATTTCACAAGTCACTAGGTCTCACTATGTAGCGATGGCTGGTCTAGAATTGCTATATGGACCAGGTTGGCCCTGAATTCAGAAATTTGCCTGTCTTTGTCTCCCAAGTACTGCCATTGAAGGAGTGAAACGTCACATCAGCCAACTAAGACCCTTCCAATCCATAAATTTAAATAAACATAATATTTTTATTGATTTGAGAATTCGTACAAAGTATTTTGATCGTATTCAGATGCCCTCCTCCTTCTCCACGCTCACCTTACTGCCCCTCCCCCATCTTCATGTTCTGGATTATTATGGGTCTTTTCTTTTAAGGTCTATCTCAAATCTTCCTGTTCTGCATTGTATTACCAATTCCCACTATAAATGTGTATAAAAGAAGATAGTAATGATCAGGCCACAGACCAAATGCTGAACTGCATTGATATTTCTTTTAAGAGATCCATATGTCCATCACTTTTAAATTCATTTTCCTTCAAAGTCTCAGAGAATGAACAAAAATGTATCTACATTCCTTGCCAACTTTTGTCACAAATGACCACTACAGTCCTCATTTTCATCTGAAGCTTCATGAGCACTGTCCTCACTGTCCACATTCCTGGTGACATTCTAGTCTTCCAAACTCCCATCGGAACTGACCATTACTCTCTGCTTACATCATGCTAGCCAGTGTCTCCAATGTTTTCATATTGTTTCCACAAGAAAGTACTAAAAGCTTAAGAACCACATCATCAAGTTGAATTAAATCAATGTCTCAATTTTCTGTTCTAGTTAGCTTCCTTCGCTGCTGAGACACAATATCTGAGAGAGCAACTTGAGACAGGAAAGATTTACTTTACACACCAGTTTCAGAGGCTACAGAAGGAGGGTGTGGCTACCAGTAAGCAGCTAGAGAGACTGTGGTCACTGGAGTTCTCTTAGTTCCCTTTTAATGCCATTGAGCTCCCAGCCTATGAGATAGCACCATCTACATTCTGGGTGGGTTCCACATTACTTGATTGACTCTGAAGTATCATTCCAAACTTAGTGATATGCTTTACTAATCTAGACGTTTCTCAATCCAATCAAGATATCAATTAATATTAGCCATCATTGAGTGGGACTGTGTTATGGACCACACTAGGAATGTAACCTTTGAAGAGTTACTTAAATACCCTACAGTTCAGATTCTTCATTTATACAATGGGGTCAGGGGGGAGTCCTTTTACATTAAAGGCGCTATTAGAAAAAATTGATATAAACCTTGACTAATAATGGAGAATGAACAAAAGTGTTATGGCATTCATTCATTTCTTTATTAAACTACTAATACATTTTGGGAAATGCTTATGTACTGAATAAAGTAAACTATATGCTTTTCACATAAATGTGAAAAGTTCCTGTATAATAATGTGTCTTTTTTCCTTTGCATTAGAATAAAATATTTTGAAGGAGAAAAAAATTGTGAGAAAAACAGAAATGCCTATGAATTATGACATATCAAAAGCACAGTCTTCAGTTGAATTAGATATATGTTAGGAAGTGTTTAGCCTTAATCAGTGTACCAAAGAAAAAGGTGCTGGCTTTGGACAGCAGTTGGCCTAGAGTGTTCTTCCAGCACAACTCAAAGATTTTGAACTAATTCCTATATCTGTGTACCTTTTTTTTTTTCTTTTGTCTTTTTGAGACAGGGTCTCCCTGTAGCCCCAGCTGGCCTGGAGCTTACTAGGTAGACCAGGCTGGCCTGACTGGAAATGCATACCTTTTATCATCCACTTGTTTAGTGAAGTTATTAATGCTTTCCAAGCTTGTTTACTGAATCTAGTCATTAAACAAACTGTGAATTAAAATGGAATTAGTATAAGAAATAATGGATAAAAGGAATCTAGAGTACTTAGCAGTATATAAGAGCTGCAGATGGGCTAACTAATGTTTTCAAAATATTTATGCATGTTTATAACTTTGTTTGTGCTCTCTAGGAACTACATGCTGTAAGCTCCATTTGCACATCTGTGAAAAATTATTTGGTTTTGGCTTGTAATATTTTATATTACCTTAACACGTGTAGTTTTAAATATCTGGCATTTCTTTTAAGGCTGTTATATCATAGATATTTTTTCTTGTTCTCGATGTGTGTATTCTACCAGTAGAGACTTTTTTAGAGACTAAATACACAAATTTTGTCTAACACTTATTCACATACACAGTTACCATCTCTCACAGAAATTGCTAAATTTAACTAAAGACTAGAAAAGAGTATAGTTAATTATCGTCTACATTAATTGCAAGTCATTGAAATTTGAACTAACGATAAAAGTTTTAAATATTATTGAAAATTTCTCATCTCACTGTTTCTACATCTCTTATTTTTTTAT